TGACTGAATTCGTGATTTCAGTTTTCATGTACCCTGCTTTGTAGCCTTGTATCTCTCCCACCAGGCCGAATTAGACTTTGGAACTTTAAGAAAAGTTAGAGCTGTTATGTATATCTACAACTTTTGTTAGTAGAGTTTTTGTTAACTCGTCGTGGTTTAGGAGTTATGTAGAGACAAAATTTGGGTTTCAGACGTAGTTTTGAGGTAGTATTGCAGCTCCTTCATGCTTTTGAATTGGATTTCTGTGGCCGACACTGTGTAGAGGCGTTGCAGGTCGCGTGGCGCCCTCGCTGCTTGCATGGCCGCCAGCTCGCCTCCTTGCCTGCTCAAGTAAAGGACCGACACCCTCCTCTCCACTCTCTCTCTCTCTCATTTCCCCTGCCCTCTCCTGCTCTCTCCAAGCCTGCACCATGCCGCTGCCGCTGCCATGAACGCCGCTGCTGCTTGAGCTCCATCACCGCCGGCCACTCTCTCACAGTCGCCCAGATAAGGCCGCTGCCGGCTCCGTCGTCGCCTCCTCCCTTGTCCTGCGCCGCTTTGCCAACCGCGCTGCTGCCCCTCGCCGTGCCGCTGCTGCACGTGCTGCCCTGCAGCCATGGCCGCCCGTGGAAGCTTCGTGGCCATGCCACCGGTGGCCAGCTCGGGCCGAGCTAGTGCCAGCCGCGGGCGTGGCCTACCCCGGCGCCCTTCCTCTGACTCTCTGTTGTTGTGCAAGGCGAAGGACCTCGCGTTTGAATAGGGGAAAAGGAAGGGGGTTCACTGAAGAATACGTGACTCAGTTGAATAGTACCAGAAAGGATCCGTTTGTTCTAGTTTAATTTATGGAAACTGCAGGGTCCCTGATGCAAGATTTACATTTCTTTTCTTTTGATTTTGGCAGATTTGGATCATCAAGTTTGACAATTCATAGTAATTAGTAGAAATATCGTAAAATAGTAAATGAGTACTTTTTGGAATCCTTGTGAAATTTTCTATGCAGTAGATCTATAATATGGCATGTTTTAGTTTAAATATTTTGCTGTAAAAATAGATTTATGCAGTTAGGTTCTTAATACTAGTTATGTCTTGTCTTTTTCATAACTGCAGTTTTGGTGCTCCAATAAATGTGAAATTTTTATGGAGTGTTACTCAGGTGATGTTTGATGTCTGGTAAAAATTTCAGGAGTTTAGGATTAATAATTTAAGATCTATAAAAATAACAATTGCCATGTATTGCTTTCCTTCTATTCTGAATAGGACTGCATGTTTGAATTAATTGGCTTAGTTAAGTTATGAATCGTGACTTGATGACAATACATAAATTTTAGTAATTTTCTTAATATTTTCAAAAAGCTAAATATCATAATTTTTGGTTAAGTAGATCTTGAGTTATAGTTGCTTAAATCTCTGTGGCTGTTTCTGCCTAAACCCAGATAGGGTTGCCTTGTTGGTATTGTGGGGTCTTCTTAATAGTAGAATTAGCTTTAGGTGTTTATAACAAAATTGTTTAGAATTTGCTAAGATTTCTAAAAAGTTCAGAACCACATTTATTGGACATGTAGAACTCCAGTTATGGCTGTTTAAAGTGGCATGTCAGTTTCTGTCAATGTTTTAGATAGAGATGCATTCATTGGATTAATTGACATTGTTATCTATAGAATCATCTTAAGATGATAATAACAAAGTTGTAGGTAACTCTATAATCTTTTCAAAATGTTATGATTCATGTTTGTTGGAGGTATAGAACTCTAGTTATGCATCTCCGAAGTTCCTATCAAATTTTTGTACCACTGCTGTTTGGGCTGTAGGTGCAGTTTTTCTTGTGCAATTATTTTCATGGTGTAAATGATGTTTTCTGTGGTTGTGGTGATACAAAGTTGTAGGTAACTTCATAATCTAGCTTGTGTTAAAGTTTCATGACTATGGTCCTGATAATTTAGGAGCTATAGATTTTATAATTTCCCTGTTAGGTTTTGCATGCTCTCTGTATAGATATGAATGATTGTGTTGTTTGACCCAATTAAGATTTGAATCATGTCTTGGAGATAATAGAAGAAGTGTAGTGATTTTCATGATATTTCCAAATTGTTAAAGATCACTCCTTTTGGTGGTCTAAATCTCCAGTTATAAGCTTATGAAGTTGCATGACATAATCTATCCAAGTCTGGACAGAGATGCTCAATTGTGCTTGATTGATCTTGTTAATAGTGGAATCACCTTGTGATGATAATAAACATGTTTTATATAATTTAATAAGCTTTCTAGAAAGTTAAGGTTCATGCTTGCTTGATGTCTGTAACTCTAGTTATGCCATTTTGAAAGTACTACTACTTTTCTGTTCTAGTTCCGTGCAGATCTGAAACATTGGCATGTTTAACCTAGTTAGCTTTGTAATAAGATTTTGGTGATAATAACAATATTGTAGGAAATTTTATTAGCTTTTCAGAAAGTCTAGGATCACCCTCTTTGGATGTCTAGATCTCTAGTTATGATTAAAATAAGTGATTGTTGTGCTGCTGTCCAGATTTCTATATATGTGTTAGGTGATTGCTTTAGCTACTCTTGTTTTGGCTAAACATGTTGTTTAGTTTTTGATCGATGCGTGGGTGCAATATCTGAACTTAAGTTCACTTGTATGCCATACCTAATATGCTTACTATCTTTCTATAATAAATTATGTGATGCATCTCGTATTGTCGTTCTTTTATTCATGCACTTGCATCTTGCATCTCATCTAGATACGCTAGATGAACCCCATGAAGGATGTGATGTTGGAGCCGAACCCGAAGACGGTGTATGGTGGACCTATCCCGAAGAAGGAAGGATTAAGCAAGTGCCGAGATGGGAGATACTCGCCTAGCGAGTGTCGTCTAACAAACACTAACCTAGTATTGAATCACAGGCAAGCCCCGAAGCATTCTAAGTCTCCTATATTTTTACAAATATCACTTGAGTTCTTTATGTTTGATGCATTAGGTTATAAGAGTTGATTGAAACCACTTGATGCATATAATTTCCTTATCTAGAAATATACCTCGAACCCTATGTAGGTTCAGGATCGAATGTATGCTTAGCGATGCTTAGACTAGTAGAAGTCAGGTGATTTTCTGTCACCTACGAGATATAGGTGGATACCAAAGCACGGTTGGCTATATTTGCTATCGTGGAAATAACCATGTGTTAATAATAAATGGAGACCGGGCGGGATATCGATAGAGAAGCAACAAGGCATGGAGGCTTTGGGTGCCTATCTATCCCCGTCTGTGTCGGTTAAGTACTGATTCGCTGTACGTCCTCATGTCATGTTGAACGCATGTCTATCACTTAGTTGGCCGGATAACTTGTTCCGACCACGAAGCCAAGTAGCTCAACTCAGGCCAGGAATCGAAAAGTGAAAGTGCGTACTCTGGAGGTAGTAAGGATGTGCGGGGAGCTATTGGCGTAAGTCCAAAGGTGAGATTGACCACCTGGCAGAGTGGACTCCCTGAGAGTGCGACGCTGGGCGGACCCACGAATTTGTTCTTGAGTTGTACCAAAGGTGACCCGAGGCAACCACTGATCAGGTTGATTGGGTGAGTGTTAGGAATAAATCCCCAATTGGGTAGGAATCGATTTGAATCGCCGTCTCTCCCGGATAGTGAGAATTTGGCTGAGCAGCATCAACGTATAGTAACTTAATTGAACTTGATGGTTATAATGATGATGATGATGTTACAACATTATACTGGCTATGGTTACTATTGCTTGTTACTAAGTGATATTTCACATGTTTGGCACATGTTAGTTGTTAATCTAGATATGAATAGCTATAATTAACTTGGTTACTGAATTGTAAAAATGTATGGCTCAACTCTTGGCTTTTATGCAAAATGTTGTCAAGCTAGCTCCACCTATAAAGCTTTGTATACTCTTTGGTGTCACTTTATTTCTGGTTTATGACGGGTAAGTCGAGTACTCAGGGTTTATCCCATCATGTTGCAGGTGAAGTTCTCGCCCTGCTGAAGATGGTGGCTAACCGCCGGTGGGCTCGGTGACTCTATATTTACTTTTCATCTATATGCTTTTATTAGAGGATGTCACTTATGCTAGCAATGTATTTGGAACTTATATTAATATAATCATTTGAAAGCTATGCTGTCTTTGCTAATCGGTTTTGAAACCCAAACTTGCACTGTTATTTGTGAACCCATTTGTAATATTATTTCCGCTGCAACTCTGCGTATGTGATGTGTATTTGCTTAATCATACGATCTTGGTTGTGATGTTGATTTACCAAGGTCCTTCGTGATACTCGGCGGACTACCGGCTTTATATAAGTAAAAGTATGTGTGTGTCAACATGTTAGCGGGGACAACCGTACTTGATCTTGTATAAATTAGGCGGTTATGTCACAGCGCTCTCTCCCCAACAGAAGAGGATCAATTCGATCGATAATAACAACAGACAACAGACGGATCATTCCGGTTCACTCTCTGCTAGCTTTAGACTTTCTAAGGCTACAGAGAGCATATATTCGAACACTTAGCGCACGTTGGAGCTCCCGCCACGCTCGGCCCTTCGGTCCAGAGTTTGACCGGACCTCTAACACCCCCATCTTACTCCTACTCGTTTGTAATCCCACAACAAACTTCAAACACCTGGGCTCAGGAATAAAGTCATCGACCGACTCAAACTGGACGTAGGGCACGTTGTCTGAACCAGTATAGACCTTGTACCATTGAGTGCTAGACCACATCCAATCACAACGTACGGTAAAATGACAAATATTTACTAGTTGGTCACTTTTCGCACAGACAATATTTGTATGAACGTGTTGAAAAAATATTTTTTGAACGTGATGTTCGAAATATCAATATTACAATTTTAATTTTGTGCATGTCTAGAATTAAGAGGAGCAATTATATTATAATAATAGAATCATGTCCATGCGTTACAACATGAATAAAATAATACCACATGATAATTTATGTTTGAACCTTTGCTACGATCGCCGACGCTCTGCGAGGTGGGATGGAACCACGATGGGGAGCAGATCTCCGCCGAGGCACTCCCAGTCCCAATCGACATCACCTCTGTTGCCATTGTCGTCGGCGACGTTCTGGCGCGGCATGGCTGCATCGACGTGCTGCTCAACAAGTGTCAGGTGCACGGGCCTGCTCGTGGGAGTTGCGCACTGATGTCATCGCGCGCGCCCTCAACATCAACTTTCTGGGTCAGGTCCGCACTTATGTTGCGTCGAGAGTGCACGGAAGTATTTTTCCTGTTCGGACGGTATCAGGAAGGGGCGAGTGGAGTTCGGACAGTATAAGGAAGGGGCGAGCTGAGAATTTTTTTTAATTTTAATATTTTTTGGAAACTAATTTTAAATCTAACATTATTTGTTTTTTATTTTTAAATCTAACACTTTTGGTCACGCCTTAGCCGCGTCACGTATGGTAGCGCGGCGGGAGGATAATGTAGCGAAGACCGAAAACACTGACCGGTGACATGACAGGATCTATCGCACCACCGATCTTGACGCGACAGTGACGCGCCATAGAGCATGGCACGGCAAGACCCAGGCGGGCGTGAGTGGACTACCCTGCCAGGCCACCAGCGCCACCCTGCTGTGCTGTGCGTAGCTTGGGGGGGTGTTTAGTTACCCCAAACTCCTAAATTTGGCACTATGCAAAAAGAAGATTACCCGTCACATCAAACTTGCGGTACATGCATGGAGTACTAAATGTTGACGAAATCAAAAACTAATTACACAATTTGATTGTACTTTGCGAGACGAACGTTTTGAGCCTAATTAGTCAATGTTGATCAGGCTTGTCGGGCTGCGTTAAACTGTTCTTCAAACTGTTGATCAGGCTTTCAAATACAACTGTGTAAGCTTTCAAGTTTCATCGTTCCTCGGACTCAAGGGAAGTCTGTTCAGTGCATTTTGTAAATAAATGTCAATGTTAGGTGCGCCAATCAGTCTACTCAAATTAATACTTTGACAGCATGGCTCAATGTCACAAGTGATTAATAACACAAGTGTGTGCTCACAGAGTCACAGTATTGTCCAGAATTTTGTCAATTGAGGATCTACCTCTTTATTTTTAATCTGTATACATGTATTATACTAGCACATACTGAAGTCTGGAAGCAGAGTACATTTAGGATGAGAAATCATTGTTTCAATAATCAGGTGTTTTGTTGTGATGTCGTATGGGTAATTTCAGGTTCTCAATGAGACAAGACTTTGGTGGTTCAATCAGACCCGTCACATTACTCCAAATGCAGTAGTATCTTCTCCTGATAAGAATGTAACAATTGCCAAAAGGTGCACAGTTTTTCCAGTTGAATTTGTTGGTGAGACCTAAGGCTTCTTGCATATATTGTTTTTTTTTATTTTCGCATACCCATTCACAAGCATTTTATTTAAATTTTTCATGTTTTTGCTATCATTCTTACTAATCTTATCTTTGCGTGTTAATTTTCAGTGAGGGGATTTGTTACAGGAAGCACTGATACATCTTTATGGACAGTTTATAATAAGGGTGTAAGGAACTATTGTGGAAATGCTCTTCCTGATGGTATGCTTTATGCTGACAAGAATTATCCAATTTGATGTTGTTTTGTTCTTTCTGTGACTGGTAATTGGCCTCCCTGTTCCAGGCATGGTAAAGAATCAGAAGCTATCTGCAAATATACTGACACCAACAACTAAAGCTGCAGATCATGATGTCCCTGTCACTCCAGATGAGGTGTCTCATGCTTTTAATATATTTCCTCTTGTAATCTTAGAGTTATAGCCTCGTGTAAGTTGCTACTGACACTATAGTACATACGAAGAGGATGAACAGATGGTCTGTTCGCTGGTTGGTGCTGGTGTTGGTTTGGGCTGGTTGATGTTGGTTTTTGTGAGAGGAAAACACTGTTGGCTAGCTGGTTTAGACTGGATGAAACCAATAAACGAACAGGCTAAGATGCTCTTAGAGTAATCAAACATTGGAATTCCATATGTCAGTGGGTGGCCATATGTCATTGAATTCCACTTGTGTTATTAATCACTTGTGACATTGAGCCATGCTGTCAAAGTATTAATTTGAGTAGACTGATTGCGTACCTAACATTGACATTTATTTACAAAATGCACTGAACAGACTTCCCTGGAGTGCGAGGAACGATGAAACTTGAAAGCTTACACAGTTGTATTTGAAAAGAGCTGCAACTGTGCTCTGCACCTACGCGCGCGGTGCGGTGCACCCGGTACCAGTGGGTGGTTCGGCGTTGGCCGCTAACGCATGCTCGCTGGGGATTTAAATGCGCGGGATTTGACCGTACGTGACCGCAGGCTAGGCTGCCACACCATGATTGATTTTTATTCTTGACGTGACTTGGCTCAAGCAGCTAAGCTACGCACAGCAGGGTGGCGCTGGTGGCCTGGCAGGGCAGTCCATTGCCCGCGGGGTTTTGCCGCGCCATGCTCCGTGACGTGTTAAGATCAGTGACGCGATAGATCCTGTCACGTCACCGGTCAGCGCTCTCGTTCTTCGTCACGTTATCCTTCTGCTGCGTCACGTTATAACAATAGACACGACTAAAAATGTTAGATTTAAAAATAAAAACAAACAGTGTTAGATTTAAAATTAGTTTTTAAAAAGTGTTAAAATTAAAAAGAATTCCTGTCAGCGATGGCAAGTAGGAGTATACGGCGAGAAAAAGATCCGAAATGGGCATCCTATCCACGCAGGCGGCGGGCGGAGCAGGAGCAGGCCGCAGCCATCCTCCCTCTCTCCTCCCTCCAACTAGGCAGCCGATCCCTTCGCGTTTGTCTCCGCGGCCCCGCTACCCTCTCCCAAGCAAACACAGCCGAGTCATCCACGCACGCCTCCCACCATTCCTCAACCGCCCTCGCTCCCGCCTCGCCGGAGCAGGAGGAGCAGTAGTAGCGGAGGATGGAGATCGACGAGGCGGTGCGCGGGTGCAGCGACCGCCGCCTGCGCACCAAGTACGGCAACGCCGTCTACGTCGTCCAGCGCGCCTTCGCGCTCTACCCGTAAGCTTCCCCTTCTTCACATCCTGAGACGGGGGCGCGCGGATTGGATTGGGTTAGTGGCGCCGGCGGAGGTGTTCTGGTTCCGCGATGATCCAGTGCGGAGGGAGCTCGAGATTCAGGGTGCGGGGGGCGCTCGCCGTGCGTGCGATCGGGTCCGGCTCTGGGTGCCGCGCGCCGGTGTTGAGCTTGCGCCTACTCCGTGGTTTGGATTAGTATGCCGGTTGATCCGGCGGAGGGATAGGCGTGGGTTCAGATTTGGGGAGGGAGGCGGTGGGGAATGGTCGGCCACCGGCGGGAACATCGAGTTGACGCGTGCTCATGGAGTAGATCTCAAACTGACTGGAGCTGCAGCCGTTGGGTTCCAACGCGCAGCCTGTCTCTGTCGTCACTGTTTGTCTGCTTATGCTCCCCTGCAGCAACGACACACCAGTACTTATATATCGGGGTGGAGGTTGCTTAATCGATTGCACAATTGTTGTCTGCCTGCTTGCTCACCAGACATCTACTGAGGACTGGGGTGCTAGCAGGTAATCACAAACAATTGGCTTTTGGCTTCGGTCATAAACTTCTAGATCACTAGTTCAGGTGGGTGGGTTCCAGTCGGCGTCCTGAATCAGCAGAATGTAGGTACATTGCTTTTGTCGCAGTTCAATCAGGTTGTTCTGACTGTTCTTAGGCCACTTCCGATGATCAAACTGTTTAGAAAATTTTTTAGAGGGCATTATGCTCTTAACAGTTTTGTATGTAGTTACCACATAGGTTGATAATAAGAGGAACAGTAATAAGCTCCGTATGCACCCTTATAGGAGGTATAAAACCCATGATGCAGGTCTATGATTAGATCTTAACCTGAAGCTGTTATTCTTGTGTACTGTGCTCTTAAAATATTGCATCTAACTGGATCTGCGCTATCTATGGGTAATCAATTCTGTGTTTCGTTCTGTTCTGCAATGCAAACGGGGTACAAGTTAGATGTGCTCGAAATGTTTCCATAATTTTTCAAACTATACTTTTACTCCTTTTGTCCCCCTCAAAGAGGATTCATGTGGCTGATTGAATGCCAAGACCAGAGGATATTCCTATCATTGGTGTCTAACCTCATTTGTTTCACTTTACAGGTTTGAGGAAGTTGCCTTCAGCTTTAATGGTGGGAAGGATTCAACTGTAAATATCTTTATGTTCTCTTTTTCTCATCATGTTATAGTATGATCAGTGTCGATTAGTATATCTGTAAGTTTGACACGATGCCCATGTTATGTATTGATAGGTGCTCCTGCATTTGATTCGAGCTGGTTACTACCTTTACAAGAAGGACTCTGGCGATGCAGCCCAAATGGATGCAGTTAAAAACTGTCCACTGCGTACCATCTATTTCGAAAGCCCTTGTGCTTTCCCTGAAATCAACTCATTCACTTATGAGACTGTCTCAACGTAAGAGCTGGCTAAGATGTGTCTAATTTTACCCTTAGTCTATCTGCTATTTGAGAAGCCTAATTGAATTTTATCCATTCTATTCTGTCTCCACGCTCTACAGTTACGGATTACCTCTGGAAACCATCCATTCAGATTTCAAGTCTGGTCTAGAAGGCCTTCTGAAGGAGAAGCCCACCAAAGCAATTTTCATTGGCACAAGAATTGGTGATCCAAATGCGGTGATTTTCTTTTGCCATTGCTCATTTGTTGTTAACAACCCCTTGCACCTATTGTACGCAATGATTATGCCCATGGCGTTCTCAGTTCCTTACAGCTTTGGTATCTCACCGACCTTTGAGTAAACACAATTTTGAAATGATAGGTTGGTCAAGAACAGTTCTCTCCTAGTTCACCTGGCTGGCCTCCTTTTATGAGGGTGAATCCGATCTTGGATTGGTCATACAGGTTTTTCTCCTGATCATGTAACCAATCAAGCCTTGCCTTTTCTAGTATGCTTGTTCAGGTGCTAAGGAGCATTATTTTCTGTGGCAGGGATGTTTGGTCTTTTCTATTAACATGTAAGGTCAAATACTGCAGCCTTTATGATCAAGGGTAGGTTCTTATTTTATGTTCGAGACTTCCTGTTTCTAGTTGCCTGTTTGCATACCTTGTATAGCTAAAATGTTCCCTAAAAAGCACCCCCCCCCCAAGCGCGCACGCGCCTCTTTGTTTGGATGAGCACTTTTGTTACCTCATACACTTGTTTTCATCTCATTTTGTGAATCCACTGCAGAAGTATTCTGGTCTTTGATATTAACTTTGCAATATAACTTACATCTTTCGTCTATACTGTTTCAGATATACTTCCATTGGGAGCATACATGATACTGTTCCAAATGCACTTCTTAGTGATTCATCAACTGAGAAAAGTTTTAGACCAGCATACATGCTAACAGATGGAAGGCTTGAAAGAGCTGGTAGAACAAAAAAGACTAATCCTAAAGTAGAAATGAATTCTGTTGCAAGCAATGGCATGAACAATACTGAGGGAGGACAAATGATCTCACGTGCGGCATCAATCATTGTAGTCGGTGATGAAATTTTGTGAGTGATGCCTTCTAGTTATCACATTTGATGTAATTCTGTTATGCTTCTGGTTCTTACGCTTCGAGTAGTTCATGATAGTAATGGAACCCATGATCTTTTTCTTTACTTGAAATTTGTGCCCTAATCCTGCAAATTCTTTCATCTTTGGTTTTGCTTTTTGAATGGATGATTGAATTATATGGATTGATAATCTGGACACTTTAGAGAGATAAGAGAAGTGTAGACAGGCATTCCGAAGTAGAGATATACATTGTGTTAGTCGATTTATTTAATAATGCTAGACAACTTAATGTTGCTACACTATTTCATATTTTTTCATGTTTCCTGAAAATCCATTTAAAAAAATATATTTGATGGATAACCAAACCTCAATGTTTTTGTGTAAATTTTATCCTTATTAACCTTTATTTTTAACATATAGTCCATACCTATCCATTTTGATTCTTCAGGTTTGGTACAACTGAGGATAACTTAGGAGCAACTTTGTGCAAGAAGCTTCATGCAATTGGCTGGCGGGTTTCTCATGTAGCAGTTGTTCGCAATGAGGTAAATATAGTTCACTTATTGAAATACTCCCTCCGGTCCCTTTTAGAAGGCGCACCAACAAATTTGTCAAGTCCGTTATAGAAGGCATTCCTTAGAATATCAGGCCGCATTAACAAAGTTAACCAAAAAACGAGACGCAAGCAGTAATTAAATGCATACAGAGAGTTGTACCGTTGCATGCATGCCGTGTGTGCACGAGTAGTAGGATTATAAAATTGTTTTTTGCATGCATGTCTATTCAGCACATGCATTTTTGAGGTTCAGTTCAACAACCGCATGCATGGCCACATGCAGAACTCGGCCAGCGCTTTGTATTCTAACTTTTATTTGTATGCCTTCTAAAAGGGACCGGAGGGAGTAATACTATGACCCTAGACCCCTTTGGAACACGGAAAATTTCCATGTTTCCTGTGTTTTCCCCTGAAAATGAACTGATTCGCCAACGCACTCACAATGCAGTGGTGGATCCTCCTGTAGCGGAGGCCACCCGCCTGGGTTCGATTCCCAGTCTTGGGATCAGCCAGGTGTGGCACTGGGGTTTTCCCTTGAGGGAACTGAGCTGCGTGTGTGGGTAATGTGTGTGCATGTGTGCTCGGTAGATGCGTTCTGAGATATCTTGGGCAGTCTCACCTGTATTTGAGCGTGCGGTTGTATAGATGTCCAATACGAGTGTTATATGATATGCTG